TCAGGGTTTGTTTTAAATGATTTGTGCTTTGTGTGTACAGACACACAGAAAACACTGAAAAACACAAAAAGAAGGACTGTAATACACATGTATCAGACACGCTCCCCTTGCTATAATGAAGACAACAGTTTTTAAATGTAAAAAACACTTTTTTATTTTTTCACACACAAAATCAATAGTTATACTGATTGTAACATCCCCAGGACCGTCTCCAGCTTAGAATTCCCCATATGACTGGAGATATCGTGATGGAGTTTTTTCACTTCAGTCAGAATATTCATGTGTATGCTGTTTTCGACACAAAGATGCATTACATCTACAAACAGAGCATACAATGAGAGCACATGATACACTTTTGATGTTTGTTTCATTTCTGAGATAATGTTACAGAATGTTTCGGAAAATGAAGATTCCAGGACCACTTTAAATGTTTCGTTTACAATCGTTTCCCAATGACCCGGAATAGAACTGCCAGAATGAACGATATCCAGAATGTCTTCCAGTTTACAAACTTCAGCCATTCTTTTTACACAGGGGTCACTACTCGTTCTGTTTTCAATCGTCCTCATCACCACACTTATTAAAAGGGTATTGACTACATTATGATCAATATATACAGAGCATTTTGCATAGTAGTTTCCCATTTTTATTTTACTTAAAGAAAAAAGTCACTGTATCGAACAAGTCCCTGGCTTCAGTCAACTGCTCGTTGTTAGTCTTCTTCTTCTTCTTCTCCATCCAACTCGGCATGGATCTTTTCAAGTCTCTCCTTGAGGCGTCTGCAATTTTTGAGATTGTGAAGAAAAGCCTCCGAAGCGCCTTGGATCCTCCAATCATCCGTGAAAATGTCTTTATCAATAAGAGTCTGGTCGATCTCAGTAATGAAGTCGGTGAGCCAGAGTCTTTTCATTAACGCGTTGTAATTGTTTCTGAAGAAAAAATCGGGCATGTCATTCAGAAAATCGTGTTGCCTCTGGCCGGGGTGACTGACTCGGCACTCGTTGCATATTTCTTCTCTGTACCGATGTATCACCCTCTCCACAATATCAACCAACACCGATTTTACTGTGTCCATAAACAGAGACGTTTTGGCCCAAGGAGCAAAATCAGCAGCAGTAGTATTGCAAGATTCGGGTGTCCAAAATGGTAGTGATGATGGTGGTAGTCCAGGAGTCTGTTCCTGGCTGCAACTCGCGGGGGGAGTCTTGGTTTTTCTCAGATCCTTGGCTAGTTTACAACGGTCATCTTAGTGGGGTCCTTCGTTTTAGATGATTTGCTGAGTGGAAGGTGGGGCTTATTGCGTTGAATGGGGGGAGTCATTTATAGAATTGAGAGTTTAAAAAAAAGCGTTGTAGCTTTTTCATCTCATCTCCAACCAAGCAGCAATAGGTCCACATTTAAGAATAAGTAATAGTTTGTCAAGATTTTACGGAAAAAGTCAAAAAAGTATAGTTTGTCAGAAATACGGAAAAGTCATTGTGTACAAATAGTATGTTGAAAATCAATAGAAAGAAAACTCAATTCATTACAAATTAATGAATATTTGACCCTGTTCTAAAGTTTTGCACCCCTTAAAGAAAAAACCCCTTCCTTACCAAGTACTTCATATTATACCCTTTTGTTAAGTGTTGCGTACATCAAGGTGTATCTTAAAGTATCTTGGTAGCAGAAAATAACTAAAATATGTAAGGTTATCAGAAAAGAAAAAACCTTGTTTAACTGAACAAGTGTTGCATACGTCAAAGTGTGTCTAAAAGTATCTTAGTAACACAAGAAAAGACAAAAAAGCATTGATGTTAACAAAAACTGGATTGTTCCACTGAAATAATAAATACATTATTTCAAAAAGTGCGTTTAAAAAAAAATAATGTATTCAGACAAAGTATTTTTGTTAGACTATTAAGTCCAAGATGGTTACATTTACCCCCTAAACCATTTGTATTATATTTTTGTTTTCCTAATAAAGACAGAGTCACCTGAATTAATTTTGTCTCCAGACCTTTTTATTTTTTACATTTTGTAACAATCTTAAAACATTTGTAGAGAACAAACACTGTGGTTAAAATGAGTGTCTTTATGACGTCTCTCACACAGTTGGTATTTTTCACAAAATTTATTTTTAAACACATCATCTTGATACAGAGATAACACATTTTCGTAAGACAACCCGACGCTCTTTTTACATAGGTAGAAAACACACTGCTTTTCTTTGAGGGGTCCTTAGTTTTAAATGATCTGGTGAGGAGGGTGTGACTTGTTATGTTGATTGGGAGGCGGAGTCCTCTGCAAAAGTGAGTCTTTTTCACCAGTATAATGTCGATCGATGTCTGACTCTGTTTAAAAAGTTCTTTAAGCTTTGTAGCTTTTCCATCAATCATTTTCAGCCAAGCAGTCAGAGGCACACGCAAGGATGTCTGAAAAACCCCGCATGTAGAGTTGAAATACTCCAAAACAAAATCATCAGAGGGGTCCTTCCCCAGCGTCACCATACGGCTTGCGCGGTAATACCATCGCCCCGATGGTCCGCTTTTAGTTTCCCAGACGGTGCTTGTCAGGACTCTTCTCACTTCTGGCGGCGGGGAAATATCTCCTTCTTCTTCCTCCACCTTGAGGGGCAGCGGTGTAAACTCTTCTTTGATCTCGCATGCTGTCTGCGTTTCTTTGCTTTTCTTTGCAAATATCTTGTACACCGCTGGTTCCACGCCGGTTTCTTGATGCACTACTTCTTCCGATACAGTGGTTGCGTGGAGATCTCTGGAGGACGCCAGAGTTAACACAGCCCAATCTGTTGAGGTCAGTGTCGCTTTAACACTACGGGGTCCATACGTTTCTCCATTCTTCAGATTGTAGAAATGCAGTTCATTCGCCATATAGTTGAATACATAACCCCAAACATCGCCATTTTTCAGAGTCCATTCTTCATGAAGTTCTTCGGCTGGAGGCGTCTGAACCCGGCCCAGATACTGCATTCGTTTCTTGATTGGCGCTCCGGACGGATTGCGGTAAGTTATCACAGGCGTCTCACTGATTAAACCCATATCGAGGCGTCTCTTGGCCATTTTTCTTTTTTGAAAGGTGACTTGGCGAGGGAAAATGACTGGCTTGTTATTTAGTTTGAGCGTATTTCTTTTTTCATCTATTTCCATCCCCTTACTTTTAAATGATCTGGTGAGGAGGGCGGGACTTGTTATGTTGAGTGGGAGGCAGAGCCCTCTGTAAAAAGCTGGAGCCGCCTTGGAGTGAATGGAGCAGAAACACATTTTAAGAAAACTTCTCTTTTATGGATACAGCAAAATTCTAATATTACCCCTAATACAACCTCACACAACTTCATATTGGGTTTCCTTATAGTGGTGTAAAGTAAATATAAAAAAGACAAAGATCATGGGGTAATAGGATATTTTATTATTTCCCTCTTCAGAGAGACTTTTCTTATAGTTAATAAAGTAATTACACATTAGTTCACAATCCATACAACTAAAGAGAATATCCTTAGGTATCACTATTAAAACCTAAATAAGATATTTTTAAATGAATATGAATACCCTCTTTGCAAAACAGATACTTCCTTGTAGTTAACAGTTTCACAAAAACTTAAAAATAAACATCCCTAGCAAGCACAAATCATTTAAAACAAACCCTGAATCAAATCTAGAGAGGACAATAACGTCACTTAGTGAGTGAAAAATAATGGCTGTTTTATTTAGTTTGAGCTTATTTCTTTTTTTAAAACTAACTCCATCCCCTCACTTCTCACCTCACAGAGAGTGTCTTAATCAACATATAGATTAACATCCCAAGCTTATCTCTAAAACTCCCATCAAATGGCCAACTCCATCGTGTGTGTGTGTGTAAATTGTTCTTAAGGGTAGGGGGTAGGTCTTTTGCAGTCAAACCAGGGGGAAAATCTGCCACTTCCTCACAGAGCCCCTCCTCCAATACACATGAACGCGCACATGACCAAAAGAGGGCACAAGATAAGTTTGTGCACAGATCTTTCGGCTGTAGGCGTCTGAACCCTCCACAGATGCTGCATTAGTTTCTTGACTGGCGCTCCGGACGGATGGCGGTAAGTTGTCACACAGCCCTCTCGCTGGTTAAACCCTTATCGAGGCGTCTCTTGGCATTTTTCTTTTTTGAAAGGTAACTTGGTAAGTGGAATTGCCTGTCTTTTTTAATTTAGTTTGAGTGTATTTCTATCTTCATCTAGAAATACTATTTGCCTGCGTCATAGCCACAGGAAGGGGTGGAGAAAAGGGGGAGAGGCTGGGAGGGGGCGGGTAGACAGTCTCACGCATAACTTCAAAGAGACACCTAGATTAACATCAAAGGCTTATAACACACCAGTGTGAAATCACACCTGCCTGTTATAACACCTCACATCAAAGGGCAAACATCAAAGGCTAATTATTCAACTCTGAGGGGCAGGGGCCATACAACATAACTTCAAAGAGACTGGCTTAATCAACACAACAAAGGGACTACACAGGGGGGCTTTCCACACCTACCTGTTATAACACACATCAAAGGACTAGACTACAAAGGGGTGTGAGGGGACAGGGGCCAGACAACATAACTTCAAAGAGACTATCTTAATCAATACATCAAAGAACTAAACAACAAAGGCAGGGGACTTTTCACACCTATCTGATAACACGCACATCAAAGGATCTCAAACAATGGGAGGCGGGGCTTAGCTCATTTGCATAATTGTACCCCCCTCACATCAAAGGATCTCGAAGAATGGGAGGCGGGACTTAGCTCATTTGCATAATTTGGGGCGTGTCCACCTGTCACTTTTTATGCATACTAATGTGACGAAAGGGGTATGAATATAACTACTAACATACTATACTATTTTTAAATGTTCCACATCATTTATTATTACTTCATTTCCATAATCTTTTAATTCATTAATATTTACGCATTTTACTTTTTTTTACACTTACTATACAACAAGTTTTTTCATGTTCTTCAAATCAATATTTTCAAAATATATGTCATGAGTCATTATGTTTATATTTTTTTACAAATACTACAATGACTTGTTTTCATAGATTTGGACCTACTATATTTGAACTTTTTAATATGTATTGACTTAATCAACTGTGAATCTTTTCATAAATGTGAACACACTGTTACCTTTTATGATTTTTTGTGACATACTTTACAATGACATTTGTTTGTGACCATTTTTGTTACACAATATTTAATGATATTTCAAATAAGAATATTTGAAGCACACTCAATTCAATGGAATGAGCAGCAAATGCTAAATCAATCAATTCAATGATAATAATAATAATAATAATGGGTTCCATTTATAAAGCACTTCATATTTGATTTCAAATCCCGAAGTGCTACAAGAAGTGAGCATGAACAGTATAAATAAACATTACACAACACGGTAGAATTAATAAAAAGCAATACATTTTTTAAAAAAAATGATCCAGATGACACAAAGGAAAAGCACCACGCACACAAACATCAGAAAATGTACTTCTGCTCAAAGCCACTGTTCGGGGGAGAGTGAACCGGGTTGTAATTATAAATCAGCGCACTCCTCTCTTCCTCCTCGGATTCAAATGTGTGAAAGTTCTTTCTTGCTGTAAGTAGAGACAACACAATCAGAGTACAGAATCAAGATGATGTAATTAAAAAAACAAAACATAATGTTCATACCTTCATTGACAAAGAATTGAGCCATGTAGAATGTGTTCATCACTGCTGATGGAGCATGGGAAATACAAGGCCTCCTCCATTCAAATGCATTCTTCTCCGGGTGCCACTGTGTCCCATAGATCGGGTAATCGTATGCTGCCGAGAGGTAAGGGAATAGAGAAAGTATTAAATACAAAAGTTCTCTTTTGCAGTAAACGTGCACCAATACTGTAAGAGAATATTTTAATCTGATCTTGATTATAGAGTTTCTTATTGTTTCTTAGAATCTGTGATACTACAAACATCTGTTTGTGGTATCAGTCAAAAACTCCTCTGTAGGTTGAGGTCACAGGTCAAAAGCTTCTCCCCCTATCCTGTGGGGGAAGGGTCCAGGCCTGCCTGCATTTCGTGAGACAAGCAGATTATTGTCTCCCATCTGCTATTGATTAGGTAAACGCGGGCTTCTGTGAGCCCGCCTCTCCTCATGTTGATGCGTGCTGTGGTTCTTTTCGGGAGAGATGATTTGGTGGAGGCACAGGAGAGTGTGAAACCAAGTGACCTCCCGGCCGTATTGCTGTACTGTGTTCAATAAACTCTCAGTGCTTTGGCTAACGACGTTCCAGACTCCTTCATTCTACCTCAACATTGCAACAACAAAAGTTTAACTTCACAAATACAGTGATGCTGCATTATTATTACCTTCCACGGTTGACACAAACTCTATTTCTCCATCCGTATTGGTAGAGAGAACTTTGTAAAAGTTTTTCAGATCCTTATTTGTGTTATGAGACTGAAAGAAACATATAGGTTAGTCACAACGTACCCAATCAAATGAAAGCCTGCTTTCTCTTTCTCTGCTTTCTATTATTTTAGAGAAGTGACTCAAAGGAGTCAAAAAGGCTCATATTTGACCAAAACACAGCAATATAGCAGTTTTTTAGCTCTTTCTCCAATTAAACAAAGATAAAACTGAGGTAATGGTTTTTGGAGCCAAGGCAGAACGTATAAAAGTTAGCGCTGAGCTTCAGTGTGCAATGTTCAAAACAACAGATAAAGCCAGAAATCTAGGTGTAGTCATGGACTCTGACCTGAGTTTCAACAGTCACATTAAAACTGTTACTAAATCAGCCTACTATCACCTAAAGAATATATCTAGGATTAAAAGACTAATGTCACAGCAGGATTTGGAAAAACTTGTCCATGCTTTTATCTTCAGCAGACTCGACTACTGCAATGGTGTCTTCACAGGTCTCACTAAAAAATCTATTAGGAAGCTGCAGCTGATTCAGAACGCTGCTGCTCGAGTCCTCACTAACACTAAGAAAGTGGATCACATCACTCCAGTTCTGAAGTCTTTACACTGGCTTCCTGTGTGTCAAAGAATAGATTTCAAAATACTGCTGCTGGTTTATAAAGCACTGAATGGTTTAGGCCCAAAATATATTTCTGACCTCCTGCTAAATGATGAACCATCCAGATCTCTCAGGTCTTCAGGGACTGGTCAGCTTTCTGTCCCCAGAGTCAGAACTAAACACGGTAAAGCAGCGTTCAGTTATTATGCTCCAAATATCTGGAACAAACTCCCAGAAACCTGCAGGTCCGCTGCAACTCTGAATACTTTTAAATCCAGGCTGAAGACTTTTCTTTTTGTCGCTGCTTTTAATTGAACTATTCATATCTTAGACTGCACTGTAACTTTTATCCATGTATTTTTTCTTTTAATGTTTCTTTTATTAGCTTTTCTTTTTAATGACTGATTTTAAATGCCTTTTTCATAATGTCTTTCATTTTTTGTAAAGCACTTTGAATTGCCTTGTGTTGAAAAGTGCTATATAAATAAACTTGCCTTGTATTGCACTCATTAAAAATGTATTCTCCTTATAAGTGGCGTACCAACAATGACACACTCCATTTGTGAGAGTTTTCCGTCAGTGGCTCGGACGCCAGAGCTTCCATGAGTTCAGCAGGAAAGCTTTTAAACATCCGGCTCTGCTTTGCTTCTAGAAATGGGTATAAGAAAAAGAGATATTCATATATAGATAGATATAAATATTTGTATCAAATGGTTTTCCAAAAAATAGACATACTACTGCATATACTATATCTCAAATTCATGATATTAGAGACAGGCTAAACTAGAACTGTTTTCCATATTTTTGAAATTCATGATATTATTCCAACATAATTGTTGGAGAAATACTGTTTTCTCTACTCTTTGGGTTGTTTTAATGCACTGATATCATGTGTGGCTCTGAACTGTGTATGACCTTGCAGCTGCCTCTTCTTGTGATAGGAGGAGGCAGGGCATTTCAGGTTGTTGATATTTATGAGAAGACAGACTTGCTGTCTCCTAAATATCTCATTTCTATGAAGCGTGAAGGAAGTACGTGACTCTTTCCAGAAGACGTCACAGATGACCCATCGCAGATGACCCGACTTTCCGACACCCGCGGCTGATATTAGCGCCACCTCGATTTACGACTTTGTTGTTATCTCCTGTGTTTTGGACTATATAAGCCTGATGTTTTTTGCTGTTCCTTTGAGCAACATACCCCATGTGTGTGAGTTAACCCATATCCTTTGTATGTGATTTAACTCTGCTCCTTCTTGCAAGAATAAATTAGTTACCTGATCATTGATTCTCAACCTGGTGTCGAGTGATATTTTTCTAACAATAATATACTACGACATTTTGAGACGTCATGACTTTTACCATATGTTTTTGACATATTATACTTCTAACTTTGTCATGTTTTTAGAAATCCATTTATATTATTTTTACACAATTGTTTCCATATACTGTGTTTTGAATTCATATATTTTCATCACAGTATAGTAGACTTTTCAAAATGTTTTCCACCATACCATTCCATGCTTTTTATGTTTACAATAGGATTTCAGTTTATTTGACATACTATACAATTATTTATTTTTTTGGCATTTTGTACCTTTTTTCATGAATTTGGACATACAGAAAAATATGTATTTTCACCAAATGTTTAAAGGGGTTAAACTAAAGAATGGCAGAAAAGGTTAAATGAAATAAAAAGCTGAGGCTAGACTGAATTACTGACACTGAAAGTTGAACAGCATTAATAATGTGCTGTAGTCGCCGTGCCTTTAGTAAAGAGCAGGGGTAATGACACGCCACTTGTATTGGTACGTGTCAGTAGTTTCTCTCCACTCGTCAAAACAGTCAGCTGCTCATATCCGAGACAGGTCCCCCACACCGGAAAGTAGTCGCCTCTCTTGTTTGCCTGGAAAATCACAAAGTGTGTGCAGCATAATCACACATCTACGCACTTAAACGTAGGTACTAATATTTGTGTTTCTTTTTTTTTACCTCAATAGCAAGTTCATAAAAGATTTTTGAAGCTCTTTGATAACCAGATGACATAATGTTCGAAGATCCACCGGGGAGAAGGACCCTGTCGACAGAGGAGTTATGTATGGAAATATATGGGAAACATTGTTAAGGTTAATAAGCTGTGAGTCATTTAGAATTTTTTATAAAAGTGTTCATAGAGGAATAAACAGTTTAATATAAATGAATGGGGAAAAGCCCAAACAAATCAAAATGTATTATAATCATATTGCTATTACTATACCCATTAATTGAGTTGAACAGTCTTTTATACTCCTCTGCTTCCCGGTTAGCCCTGTAGAAATAAAAACGGGAGGTCAAACGTTTCTCTTAAAAAATATTGGAGTTGCATAAGCTCTTGGAGGATAAACATGTACAAATAAATGTTAAATGCTTACATGATAGGGACAACCCTCGCTCCCCCCGACTCCAGGAACTTTACATAGGAGGAGGCGATGTAACCTGTCGAATTTGGAGGAAGGTAACGACTGTTTTGGGCCAGTATTCCTTTTGAGGGAAAAACACAATCATTTTTAAGCAATCGGAAACCTCCATCACAGAGTTCTAAGATGATATCTAAATCTAACATGGAAGTGGGAGTCGTTTAGAAATAACTATCAATGCATTTACTTATTCTTTCACAATAATGCACGTCTGGATAGGACCTGCTTTCCCCAATCAAAATGTAACTTATCGTAATGTAACATTCCCATAAACAAGGCATTTATAACTTACCAATGATGGGTCTTTCATTTATCTTGGCTGAAGAATGAAAGAGAAGACCTGTTAGAGAAATGCAAAAGAACAAGATCAATGGTCTTAATGTAAACCATTTTTAGTTTTAGCATTAGACTGAATATGTTTCTCTGTCATTTATTTATTCCTGGTGAGAAAAGACAGTTCATATAAATTATTTGCTTGTATTTCTTTTTGTTCATATTTGAAATAAAATAAAATTATAACTCTTAACCTGTTAAACCTTCATTTTATGAACAGAATGATTGTCCTCGACAATGACATAAAATATATTTATTGCGAACTCCTGCACACAGACATGGACAGAATTAAAGTTATGTAAGGTCCTCCTGTAAAGTGGGACAGTGATGACGCATTTTTGTAACCTGGAAGTTGGCCCCACAAGCCTCCATTGACAAAAAACTATTGCATTTTGAAATACTAAAATCTGTGCAAAACACACATCAAACTTACATGTGATGACGATTAGTAGTTTCATTTAGAAACTTGTTAGCAACCGCCATTTTAAAATTCAACAGTAAGGCATTTACTGACCTCTCTTATGTCACAGAACAAAATCCACCTTAACCTAACTAGTTTCAGGCTTCTAAACAAAAACACATTCAAAAACAGTCGAGGGAACCGGATCGTCAAATGCTAACTCATTTCTGGGTTTTAGTTTTGACATGCTATACTTTTAGTTTTTCCCCTGTAATTCACACGAACAGGCTCCTTTAAAAACTAAAACAAAACACATGGCGGCCGGCCCATAGGGGCACTAAGGGTGCCGCCCCCCCTCTTCCCACATGTTTGATTGTCATTAAAAATAAAAATAAAAATATATTTAAAAATAAAATATTTTTTTATTTTTTATTTTTAATGAACAAGGTAAATATTATATAGTTGGTATCAGTAAAATGTATAATCTACAATAAAATCTCGTTTAAAATTGTTTTACGATGTCTAAAGTTACTTATAAGTCACATGTTTCCTGCCTGGCCACAGCGTGTATCATTACCCTCTTGATTGATTGATTGAAAAGTTTATTAACAGCTTCTATATTGGGTACAGTACAGTACAGCTCAAAACATACAATTGTTAAGGGGATGCAGACCAGAGAAAGACTTTCGTCTTGTTTACATCAGGGTCCCCTATTTCCAATTCATCATGTCATTTAAGACATATAAGACATATTTGACATACAGATGGCTTATTTACAATTTACATACAGGTGGTTTTTTTACATACAGATTGCTTGTTTACAATTTTCATTTTAGATTTCGTTCTAATACATCCTAACCGGACATTTAAGACATACCAAGTCTACAGATATACAGTTAGTAACAGAGTCTAAAATGTGAGTATATACATAGATGGGGGGGGGGGAAGCTGTCCATTGAACGACAGGTTGAGATTTGTACCATTACCGGGGCCAGTTTTGCAATGCTCTCCCCCGAAGGTGCTCTTTAAGAGAGGTTTTGAAGGTAAGTATAGTTTTACTTTCCTTTACAGTTGTGGGAAGAGCGTTCCACCTTGATGTGGCATAATTGCGAAACGTGTATTCCCCCTTTTTTGTGCCAAATCTGGGTTTCACATGATTTGTGGAGCTTCCTCTGGTGTTATGATCATGGTATTCCTTGACCTTTGGGAAGAATGTTGACATGTACATGGGTACCATAGAGGTGTAGTGGATCTTGTAGACCAGGCCCATTGCAAGTAGCTGTACTCTGTCGTCTACTCTAAGCCATCCTAGGTTGTCAAAGTGGGCAGAGGTGAGGTGGGTTCTAGATGAAAGGTCAAGCAGTAGTCTGACCAGTTTATTTTGCGATGTTTGAAGTTTTATTTTTAGCGCCTTGGAGGTGCTATGGTACCATGACGTGCAAGCATAGTCATAGTACCCTTGAATGAGTGCTCCTGCCAGAGTTTTCAGGGTGTTTTTGTTTACCAGAGAGGAGATCCGGTATAGGAATCTAGTTCTTTGATTTACTTTTTTTATTACATTGGATGCCATTTTGTCACAGGAGAGGTTTGCCTCAAGAATAGATCCTAAGTATGTAATTTCCTTCTTACTTGTGACAATAATGTCGCCCACTGCAACTGAGAAGTCGTCGGATTTGCTGAGATTATGTTTCGAACCGAAGAGAATGGACTCTGTTTTACCCAGGTGTAATGATAATTTATTATCGGCGAGCCAGGTGCAGATTCTGCCGAGCTTGGAGCTGAGGGTTTTTTCAACCTGCAACCTGTTCCTGTCAGAGACCAGCAGGGCTGAGTCGTCCGCGAACAGGAACAAGTTGCAGTCACATGCTGATGACATGTTGTTTACATAAATTAGGAACAGTAACGGACCTAATATGCTTCCTTGTGGAACACCACAGCTCACTGGGAGGGGGGGGGGGACAGAGTACCGTTTACCTCCACCATCTGTTCTCTCCCCTCCAGGTAGGATTGCATCCAGCTCACCGATAGTTTATCAAAACCAATTGCTTTTAGCTTGTCAATCAGAATGGGGTGATTGACAATGTCGAAAGCCTTTTGTAGGTCCAGCATCACCATGCCGCAGTACTTGCCCTCGTCCACCTCTTGTTTGATGTGGTCGCTCAAATAAAGAAGGCATGTGTCAGTGAAGTGGGATGTTCTAAAGCCAGATTGAAATTCATAGATTAGTTTATTTTCCGCGAGGTACTTTTCGACCTGTTCATATACTATTTTTTCCATGACTTTCGAGATCGAGGTAAGTATAGAAACAGGGCGGTAGTTGCCTGGGTCTAATTTGCTGCCCTTTTTGTGCAGGGGGGTTACTCTTGCAATTTTGAAGTCTTTGGGTACTTTTCCCTGTTTTATGGAGAGGTTAATTATGTGAGCTATGACTGGTGAGATGGCGGTTGCTGTGTCTCTGAGGAATTTGTAGGGGATATTGTCGTGGCCAGTGGCCTTGTTAGGTTGGAGGGCGCTCAGTTTAATGAGTACCTCTGCTGTTGTTACCCTTGCTAGACTGAAATCATCTTTGCGTACCCCTAGGTTTTTGTAGTAGGTCATGATGTGATCTACTCCAAAAATCCCTGAGTGGGAGGGTAATTTATTTACAAGAGTTGTGGCTATGTTTGTGAAAAAAATGTTCAAGTACTTGGCCACATCTAGTTTGTCTGTGATGAGCCTGTTATCTGTCTTTATGTTTAAGTTAGAAAATCTCGTTTTGAGTTTTTTACTGCAGCCAAGCTGGTTATTGAGTAATTTCCAAAGTTCACAGGGTTTATTTTTGTTTTCCTCAGTTTTGACATTGATGAAATTCTTTTTGGCAGTTTTGATCATGGAGCTTACGTCATTTCTTAGTCTGTTTCTTTCAATTTTGAGTTCAGTCACGTGGGCCTGGAGTTCACTGCTCGTGCTTTTGGAAAGCATTGACTGACTTTTATGAAACTCAGAGCATTTTTTGTCTCTGGTTTTCATGGCGGTCAGTATGCCGGAGTGCATCCACGGCTCAGCGCGATTTTTTATCCTGGTTGTTCTTAGGGGGGCCAAATCATTGAGTATTGCAGAGAATTTGTTTTTGAAACCAAGCCATGTTTCTTCAACTTGTGTACCACTGAGCTCATCTGACCAGTCCAGGCTCTCCAGTTCTAGGTTAAAGGCCTCGCTAGATAGTTTTTGAGGTCTCTAGATATGACTGTTTTGTGACAGCCGGCCCTTTGTTTTAGCTTTTTGCGGGTACAGAATATCATATAATGATCACTTAACCCGCATGCTATAACCCCTTTACTGGAGATCCTGGACTTGTCAGAGGTCAGAATGAGATCAATGGTAGTTTGTGTTGTTTCACATACCCGGGTGGGTTGGGTGATTTAGCTGGCTGAAGCCGTGCAGATCACAAATCCTACTGAAGGACTTGAAGACGGACGTGTCTTTACGTTGCATATCCGTGTTCCAGTCTCCAATAATAATTGTCTCTACATCCCCCACATCAGCCAAACACCCATCTAATGTATCATAAAAGTCACTCTGTTCCGGTGGTCTATAGATTGTCCCGACTATTACAGATTTAGCATTGTCAAAAAGAATTTCAACCCACACAGATTCAATATTTTCATGATGCAGGTCAGTACGGTTTTTGAAATTGGTGTCTTTATGTATGTACATGCAGACACCACCTCCATTCACGTTCCTGTCCCTTCTCACTACAAGATAATCTTCAATTTCAATCTCTGAATCTGTAATGGAATTGTCCAATTTGGTCTCAGAAAAGCATAATATGCTTGCCTTACCGTTCATGAATAGCTGCCTGAGTTCAGCCAGTTTGTGTCTCAGGCTGTTAGTGTTCGACGCCTCTCGTCCGTGCGGTAGAAAGGAGCCCTCAGCCAGAGCAGCAGCAGCTAACAAGCTGACTGTTGCTATCTGTAAACTATGCCGCCGAAACATAATTTCAGCCAATCAGCGTAGTCAGATCTGATGCTCAAAGGGCGCCCTGTCAGCGCCCTGGCCTGTGTGTCTGTGAGTTGTTTGGACTCGTATCCAAGGTGACACTACAGCAGTTGATGAGGATGGCTGCGTCTGCAGGTGGAGACTCCGGTGCTAGTGGATCGCCGGAGCTGTAGATTAACATTTACATGCTTATTGTAGTTGTAAGGGCAATGCCTGTAGCACCATGGAGCATATGTGTGGGCTGGACCTGTATTTGACAGGAAAGGAGTGAGCAGAGGGTCGATTTGTCGATTCTTGTTCAGTTTTCATCTTCCTCACCCTCTCAGAATTTGAGTGGTGCGCGCTGCTAAAGAGACGCGCTACCATGGAAACTGAGGTTACCTACTGTAACCCCTGTGTGTCTGTGCTGCGCGCGGCGGTACATTTGAATTACACCGGGCAGCGGCACACTGTGAACTGTCAGGAAGACTCGGGTCTAACTCATGGTCTAACTAACCTTATTTAACAGAAAATAAAATGGCAACAACAGGGCTTGGGAGCAGTGGTCGCACTCGCGTTAACCGAATACCCCCCCGTCAGCGAGAGTGATTGATAAATTGTGCACTCGACGAATAGTAATGGATTATGAC